AAAACAAAAACAAGTTGACTGAAGTTTGCAGAACTTCCCTGTGAATGTTATATCTTCAATAAAAGACTTTTTTTTAAAAAAAGGAATCACTAGCAGAAACTCGAGAAAAAAAGCCACTGCACAAAACAAATCCCAACCGGGTCCGTCACTTTTTTGGGTCCCCTTGAAACATTTCCGTTGTGGTCCGTGCTATTTGCAGCGCGTTTCTTCATTTGCATGTGTTGTCAAACTGATGAAGATGTTTTCTTAATTTGCTGGTGTTTTTTCTATTTGCATGTGTTTTCTTAAGTTGCAGCGCGTTGAGCTCTCTCGGCCACCGTATTACGTTCTGCTGTTAAGACTCCACAATTTTAAATCAGCCTTTTCTGCCCTCTAGTGAGGATATTGCACAACTACGTTTTAAATCGTAAAATCTGCCATCATTTACTCACCTGTCAGTCCAGTTCTTTTTCTTGGGAAGGCGAAAAAGTTCACGGTCGTCCTTAGGAGAAGTCCATGTGATTTATGAACTATAACTACTCCAAAACTTCATGAAGGATAGCCAAGTTCTTTAAATGCAGTGTGAGGAGGTGAGAAATTACTGGTTGGCATTCGAGCAGCATATCCACCTTTTACTTGCCGTAAAAATGGGCGCGGCCATTTGTAAATTCTATGGGTCTAGCTTCCGGTTTCATCCGAGCAGTACTTGCGGTCTTTGCGCTTGACCACTAATATGACGTATTTCCTGTATTTGGCCCAAGTGTTCAAGTGAGCATGAAGACCACAAGTGTGTGTCGAACTTTTCATTACCTGATGGGACACACTTGTAGTGTTGTAAAAATGCAAGTGTTTAAATATCTTTATTTTAATTTTAATTACTTTGCATTTTAAAAATCAACTTCTAAATGTCTGTTCAGTAGTCCCTAACATGACAATTTTAATTTGTGGTGTTTCTAATTAAGTGATAAAAAGCAGTTGCAAATGTTGTACATTTACATTTACATTTAGTCATTTAGCAGACGCTTTTATCCAAAGCGACTTACAATTGGGGGATACATAAAGCGATTCTTCT